GAATAACCATGTCTTCATGCGTTGATCCATTAAAAAACGACTTGGCGGAGTTTATTGATTGTAATCGTCTAGACTGCGGAACTTTAACCCTCGATGGGTGCTAGACGAGATCCAACTCCCAACTAGGCGATAGTGGAGAGGAGTGGTTTTTACAAAAGGTAGAGGAGGAACAAAGTTATTATGGCGCTGAGACTAGATCTCCATTGCCATCAGCATTGATCAAATCTTTGGGTTCATCGACTCTATAGCTTCTGTGAATATCGAAAAGGCAACAGAGAAACCTATAGCCTATAGCTTCTATGGCTTCGACTCTATTCCAGAAAAGCTTTGTGGGTTCAACTCGATATCCAGCTGAGCAGCGACACCACTGAGGTCGTCCCAATACATCCCGGACTGAATCTGGAGAAGGATCTACAGTACCAGAACCGGGCGAATTGGGTGAATTGTTTCACCATGTTTCATGTTTCACCCCAAACTCACTCGTCGAGACCTAACTGTTAGAGACGCAGCGAACATCTTTGCCAAACGACGCAACGAACTTCTGCACAGGGAAGATCGGTTTTGAAGATGAAGGCCCTGACGTACTCTTTAACCCCTGCAGAGCACTTGAGCAACGACACCAATTCGAAGTACCTAGCTAGCATATTAAACAACAATTCAGTTCGGCTCAAAAAATGCGATATTCCGAAACGCTCTATTATATATCTGTCTATTGTACCAAATCCATATATAGTCAATGAGAGATTGATTTTGTTACTAGTTTGGTATTGCTGCGTTGTCTCGCGGGTTGGAGGAGGCACTGCAGCGGCCTCCGGCTTGCGACCTGCAGCGGAGGCGGAGACGGTCGCACAGCAGAGCGGGATTGAAACGGATGTGTTTCAGCATTTTTCCCCGAACAAAAGAGGTGTGATAATCACTTTAACACTGGATCATCACTGGGGGTTAGCCAAGTGCAAGACCTGCGATCATTGGATTTGTAGCATTCTTGTTGCTGGTTTGCTGAGAGAAACTCTAGGAAACTTTTGGCATGAATGGTGAAGGATCATTTGGTTTGGGGTTCTTTGCAGATTGAGCAGTGTAATGCTCCTTGGCCGGCAAGATATAGACAACAACTGCGACCTGTAAATCCTGTAGGGCCATGATGTTCTTCAGTTCATGAAGTGAATTACTGTAGTTCACGAGAAACCGTTGGTCCGTTGGTCAATAAATCCCACATGGACTTGAGGTTGTTTGGACCACAAGACTTCCCTCATGGCTGCGGCATCGACACCAGAAGTATTCAAGACGAATCTTTTCTGGTAGACCGTACGGTAGGACTCTTCTCTTGTGATCCGTCAACACATATCCCCAGGTTTATTTATTTTCAAGCTTAAACCGATCTTAAAACGAACTTCTTAGCCATCTCTCACCTGGCGGTTTCCGGAGGGTACGGTACTACCCGATTCCCGCCACGAACGCCGCGCTGTGCCTCGCAGGCGAACGCATCGCCAGTGCCCGAGACGGCTGCCAGAGGCTTCCTCAAGGCGACGCCGGGGTGAGTGGTGCGTTGTTCGGTCGTGGGGCGTGTTTGATTGACTTGGCAGGCGTGAACTATTTGGGAGGGTGCAATGATCCACTTTAGTTAGGTGACATGAAATCATGTTTGCTTAAGCTTGGAACTTTGGTGCTTGGTGTAATCCTCAACAATGTCTGGTGCACCTTGAAACTGTTTTGGGTGAATCACCTTTTGGATGAACTAATTCTGCTGAAATCGTGGTTGCCTGAAGTACCAGACTGACTTGGAAGCGATTTGATTCGGGCAAAACAGCCGAACACACCAGCTGCAAAGCGGCCCGTTGACCAGACCTCTCTCGGCCAACGTTCTTCTGGACCCAAACCCCTCAAGCTGTAAAGTCACCAACGTGCCAAAACCGAACCCAGTGGTTTGCTGTGGGCACTTCCTTTACACACGTTATTAAAATAGAGGCTCTTAAGACTACCTGGTGGCGGTCAAGCTGAAAAAGCTCTTCCTCTTGTCTTCCGTGAACCAATAGTAGATCTACCAGATACTTCATCCAGCTCAGATTCTCTACTTGGCTGTGGATTGTTTAGATCGAGGCATGTCTCCAGGTGTTTTTCGTCCGCCGAGGCCTTGGAAGCCGAGTACCTCCAGGGGACCCAAAATGCGGCTGGGGAGCCCCAGATGGCCCAGCTGATGGGCGCCAGGCATGTGGTCTGGTGATGTGCGCCGAGTGGATGAGAAAGATGAGACTCAGAGCGCTAGAAAGAAGCGAAGCATCTCCGTTTTATGAGTGATTCCATGTGCATGAACACATTCCATGTGCCTTGAGAAGCCCAAAGAACAAATCACGTGAGTCACACGAGTTGCTCGTAGAGGTGGGTGACTTCTTCAGCACCGCCGACATCGACGACTCCAAGAAGGCCACTGATGCTCACTGTCAGAAAGAGAGGGCGATCTCTCGGGCAATCGGAACATGTCGAGACCTTGGTCCAAGTCGGTTAAGAGAGATGGCCTCCAACCTAGAAGGAATAGCCTCCAACGTACGAGAGATGTTTGTTAGTGAAATCTTGTGAAGAGTTTGCACGACTCTCAATTGGAGCAAATAGAGGACACATAATATAGGAAGCATCCAGAAGCGTCTGGCTGTCGTCTCAATATGAGAAGGGCTAGGGAGGGCTATACCAGAATGGATCTCCTTCTCCAGGCTTGGACGCCATGTGGACGACACAACACATTTAGCATTGTTGTGAAGCCACCATTGAGTCTTTGAGCATCACTTGGCAGAACGCTCGCAGCAGGATGCACTGGCGAAGATCGAAGACGAGGCTCTTGGGCAATCGGGTCGGAAGAGGTTCAGTCAAGTTCAGGTGTGGCGACAAATTTTTGTTTACATGCATCTTCACGTCCACTTGTTTGCAAGCAGTTTTACATAGTTTTACCGAGGGTTGTGACATTGTCTTGATCTCTTCGAGAGGGCCGACACCCATATGCCCTCAAGACACTCGAAAGTATCTAATTAATATCTTCGTTTGCTGACTTTGACGGATTGATGAGCCACTTGTGTTCATAAGATTGTTTGGACAGAAAGGAAGCATCGAGACAATCCCGGTTTTAGGGGGTGCAGCTTCTTATTCACGTTGCGTGCCACGTTGGTCACGTGTGGGTCACGTGTGGGTCACACGTGTGGATCACGAGGTGCGGGCGTCGGAGCAGAGGGAGAAGAAGATCTCCGAGCTCCGAACTTCCTGGGGCTATCATTGAGGCACCCCATGAAGGGTTGGCCGATGCGACTGTCCTTTTTGACCTCAATAGGCCATACCCTTTTGTGGCACCTGGGTTTTCAAGTGCATTGTGCACAATGCGGGTTTCGAATGCTTGGGTAGCCACTGGGCCACTGGGCCTTCAAGATTCTTTTATATCAACCCAAATCTTGAAGATAGATTATATAGGCCTTCCTCGTTTGCGGCGACCATGACACTTGGTCAGTATGATTTCACCAAAATGGAAAGTGCCAGCCCAGTGGATCAAGCGGATGGACCCCTAATTCACCAATTCGCATGCTCGAACTTTGATCCGTCTGCCCGTCTGCCAGTTTCTGCACCTAGAAGCACATTCACATGCATGTTTGATGTATTTTTGTGTAGCTTTTCCATTCCCCAGTCATTTGTTCCGGGCAGAGGCACCGCCAGTTCACAAGAACCGGCGGAGTTTTGAAGGTTCACCACAGATGCCCAAATCCCCCGCTGTTTGGCGGGAAGATCAGTTGCAGTCGACATGAATATGCAGATGGAGGGTTTGGACATTTGCAGATGCTTTGGCAGTGATCAAATCATGGGTGGGACTGATTTTCTAGTAACATGCTTAGTATAGTACTTACTTCCAGCATCTTTTCAGATATCAAGACAAATTGTAGACGCCCCATCCTGATGTGTGACCAGATCGGCAAAAGTCTTGCCTTCTGAAACACACCACTCGCTTTTTGAGCTTCGGCTTCCACCGCGGCCCTCCGAACGACGGGCCACGCATTTGCGACGCGCGGTCGACAAAGCTTCCTCGGCGCCGACCACGAGGACCACGAGGAGGGGTAGCCGGCCTAGAGCTGGGAAGTCATGCCTGCAAAATGTGATGACCAAATTACTGGTAGGTATGGTGTGGCAAGAGAAAGATCAGGGTGAGGAAGTTTGGTATGTTTCCACTGAATTCCACTGATAAATTTAAGATATTTATTAAGTATTTTGCTTGTTTCTTGCGATTTATAACCCGAGTTGGAGACAGCTGGGCCATGTGTTGTTTTTGTTTTTTCCCTTTTGCTTGCTGCCCCTCATTTTGGAGTGTCGTTGAGCGTGAAGAACTTCGCCAAAGCGAACGCGTTCCGCACGCACCGGCACCACAGTGTGAGCAAAGATGCAAAAACACCGAGCACAGCGCTGACCGTTGCAAGAGAGGGTAATGGGAATGGACTTGTAATTTGGACACAACTGGAACTCACTCAATTGGTCATTACTGTCATTACTGTAGTGTGAACAAGCCTAATTAGTCATTCAATGTCGAAACGTGAACGCTCTCACATGGATGACAGCGACTTCATGGATGACATCCGTCCGTGTTGGCTCAGGGACTTAATTCACGTAATTCGGCTGAAGCCGGACGCTACGAACGGGGCTCCTGGCAATAGGAGCAAGAAGCCTACTAGGGGCTCCTGGCATCGCTACGAACGGAGCAAGAAGCCTACTAGTAACGAAGTCGGAGCTTTTCAGATGAAAACAGACCTGAGATGACTGAGACCCGAAAATCACCTGGATGTTGGGATCATGCGGACGCATCAGATCATTCAGCGTCGTTAACGGTCTGTAACGGTTACAACCACTTCGGAAATCACCCCCCACCCCAAACCGGGAAAACATCTTCACCAGAAGGGAATTTAACCATAGGGAAAATAGACAATCACCTTGATCTCCCAAATCTCCAGAAGTAGTTCCCAATTGTTCCCAATGGTGCGCACCAATGTACCGCCCATACTCGGCCTGTTCACGGCACGGCCGTGTGAACACGTGGGGCTGATGGTCTTTGTGCCTGTGCCGGGCGAGGTGAGGAAATCTTGGACTCTGACAGAGTGAACAACTCGCCACGAAATCTTTCGGATTGATCTTCTCTAGGTTGGAGGCCATCGCTATCAGGTTGGAGGCAATTGCTTCTAGGTTGGAGGCCATCGCTATCAGGTTGGAGGCTATGGCTATCAGGTTGGAGGCCATTCCTTCTAGGATTGCTTCTAGGTTGGAGGCCATCACTATCAGGTTGGAGGCCATTGCTTTAGGTTGGAGGCCATTGCTATCAGGTTGGAGGCCATTGCTTCTAGGTTGGAGGCCATTCCTTCGAGGTTGGAGGCCATCGCTATCAGGTTGGAGGCCATTGGAGGCAATTGCTATTATTTTGTAAATTTGCTGCTCAGCCTTGTGCTCACTTGTTCATCACTTGTTCGCCTGCCGGATTTGTTCAAGAGGCCTTGGCCCGGGATTTCCTGAAATTAGAAGCCCGCAAGGAGGATTTGGAGGCAGGCTCCATAATATAGCAGGGCGTGACGGGTCCAAGACTCTAAAGATGCTTATTCCTTTCATGGCGGAAAATTTGGATTGCTACTGTTGGTTTTGTACTCAATTCCAAGAGATCCACTCTGGCTCATGAATGAACGCAAAGATTTCCCTCAAAACTTCAAAGCAAACCAGAGCGAGATGGTATCGGCGATGACCGATTTCTCATTCGTGACATTTCAGAACCTCAGACTCAGTGGCCGCCCAAGTGGCCCCCAATTCACAACCCAAGACCGCCTTGACCCGCATACGTTTAAGCCACTTTGTTGTGTCTGCCCCAGACGTACCGTAAGCAAAAGTCAACCAGTACAAAGGAAGGCATGGGAAGACCTTGCGCCCCCTAAAAAATCGCACTCCACATGACTCAAGGCCTCAAATCACGTGTCTTTCTGGATATTTTCATCTTCCAAGTGGTTCTGATTTTGATTGCCGTTCTATAATATATATATATGGTTAGTTTAGAGCAGTTATGATGTTGTCAGTTGTCATGGCTTCTCGGCAACTTGCCAGGAAAAAAGATGGAAATTCATGGAAGAGATGCAGAACCGCCACACTGTACCATCCTTAAATCTCTACAGTTTGTTGAAGATCGCAGTGTGACATTCTTTGTTGCGTGTTATGGACAACGACAGCAGATTGAATTTTCCGTATCCAGAAGAAGTATATATATATAGCTTTGATGGTCTTCAGAACAACAAGTTCTTTTGTGGATGGCTGTGAGGTTTTCCAGGTCTGCCAGCATGTTTCCTATCGAAACTGCGGGCTCTTCAGCTCAAGCGTTTCGGTTGACTGCGCCACGTAGAGTGGTCTTACACGTCTGCAGGCGTGTCACGTTTTTCTTCGTAACGTTTCTCGCGTTTTGAAGCCATGCCCTGCCAATCTCCTCCGGTCTCAGCCCTGGCCTCGTATGCGAGATCCTTGCGAACAAGATGTCCCGAGGCCGAAGCGAGTCCGATGCTCTTACCCATGTATACGGTACCAGTGAGGGATTTGCTGGACATGGCAGAAATGGAACCACACGAGGAGTTGAAGGCGAAGGGTCTCCTGGTGGTGTTTCAGCGGAGTCTGGGAAATGCAGCCTTTGTTTCACACCAGTGGGTCGGTCATGAACATCCAGATCCAGAGTTCAAGCAGATGAGGGTTTTGCAAGCAGCTCTCAAGTATGCCATGTCTTCATCTTTGAAACATATACCCTTGGATATTGTCACTGAGCTGCTTCTGCCTGGTGCCAAAGACATGCCAACTTCGGAGCTTGTGGAGAAGGATCTCTTTATTTGGTATGATTACTTCTCATGTCCTCAGTTGGAGAGGAAGCCGAAAGAAGGCGAAAGAAGTGAACTTTCTAAAGCCATCGAGAGCATCCCTGCCTATGTGGCAGCATCGGCCTTCTTCTTTGTGCTTTGTCCGGTCATCGAAAATGAACATCTCTCCAAGGTCTTTTCTCCATCCACCTGGGCCCAGCGGGGTTGGTGTCGCTTGGAAAGGGCTTGCTGCGAGCTAGGCCAAAATCAATCATGGATTATGGTCAAAGCACCCACAAGCCTAGAGCTCCTTGGGCAAGAAAAGTACTAGGAGCAAGAAGCTACTAGTAACAAAGGGCATCGCTACTAGGAGCAAGGACGCTACTAGGGGCACTCCTGGCCTTACTACTAGTAGCAAGAGGACGCTACTAGTAGCAAGAAGCTAATTGTATTGGTGGCCCAAACAGATGACCCCGGACAATCCAGGAAAAGCAGTATCCGTTTGCTGCTTTCGTTTGTGATATCGTGCAATTTGGTGATTGCAACGCTTTCAACTGTTTTGCTTGGAGCAAGCTGCTTGTACGCATCCTGAGGCTGATCTCATGTCCATCAGCATCCATGGGCAGCAGCCCCCCGGGTCAAGGAGAGTTTTCACTTGCAGAGGACCGGAAGAAAGTGGCACCAGTGTTGACCACCCTGCTGAAGCGCAAGCTCCTGCAACTCTTGCAAGCGCAAGATTTTGTGTCCTACCGTGTGCTGCTGAACCAGCAGAGTGTATACCTCAAAGGGTTAGGTCTGCACGGCTCGTGCTACAAACCAGTGCCAGGCTTTGAGGAGAAGATAACAAACTTGGAGGAAATGGACTCAACCTCATGCCTTGTTGAAGAGTTCTTGTACCAGAATGGCTTCAACACCGTTGGTCAAAGGGATGCTGGGGGATGGATGCCCTTACACTATGCTGCCCTCAGTGGGGATTCATCATTGATTCATGGCCTACTGGCCAAACGTGCCAATCCCAACTGCAAGACCACCAAAGATCAGCCTTTGGTGGGTCTGCCACCTTTGACCTCAGCGCTGTCCATCTGCGTCTTCTTCCGACACTATGAAGCGACGCAATGTTTGATCTCGGCTCGGGCCTCCCTCTCGGGCGGTTCGACGCTGTGTACTCCGCTGATTGCTGCGGTCATCGCGGACAGCGCCGAAGGGGTCCGGTTGCTGTGCCAAGCCCGGTGCGATCCCCATCGTCGCAACCTCGTAGGTGCAGCGGCCTTCGACACAGCTTGCGCGCATGGCACCATTCATGCAGTTGCCAAGCTTGGATTGAAGCCTTTTGAGATCATATTTCGTTGTGACAAATTGGCATCCCCTGCACCTCAAAACCAACTTTTTGTTGTTTTCTTCCTTTAGACGCTGCTCACACAGCACACACACACAAAACCTCTGAGTCTTTTGTTTGTTCTTTTTTTCTGACGCCGCTTACGCCTGAACACTAGAACCAAGGTTGAGGAGCTGCTGTTGCAAACCGGAGGACGTGGATTGGACATGACACTTGCCCTCAATGAATCCCTGACTCACCACGGAGGTTCAGCGGAACTGGTGAAGCGTTTGCTCGATTTGCGAGCTGACGTGAATGACCAGACCTTTACTTGGTGGAAGCCTGGCTTTGGTATGGGGCTCATTGCCATGCAAAAGAACTTGCAGCACAAATGTGGAAAGAGGACCCTGTGTAGCAAACTGATGTATCATGGTGGACATGGTGGAACGCCTTTGATGCTGGCGATGTTGACCTACCAGTACGAAGCAGCTGCGTGTCTCATTGCAGAAGGAGCACGCCTGGACTCGCGCAACTCGCGGGGATGGACCGCCAAGGACTTCGCAGCAGGACAGCCAGTGCCAGATTTTCTTCTAGAAGCTTTCGAAGGAAGCTCAGAAGGCTGTTGCAGAGTGACATCTATAGCTCTTAGGAATGCTTGTGTTGAGCTTTAGAACACAGATGAGTTCGGCTTCTAAAAGTAGACTATACAGTAGATCATAGTCAACCGAAACGCTTATAGTTCGTGGACACGTGAGCTTCGTACCAAAGGTCAGCTTGCGGATCTCAGAATTTTTATGGAATCTTCTCCCTACTTTTTTGAGTCTAGATCTGTCTAGATGAGCTTCATCCCACCGCGAAGGCGGACGTGCACAAAATGAGAGCTTCGTCAAATCTCGTCGGCCAGGAGTTGAGAGAAACGAGGTGGTGAGCTGATGAGCAGTCGATTTGAAGCCCAAGACGAAAGGGTATCACTTGAATTGAATAGATATCAAGAGGTCCGTTGGTCTGTTTGCAAAGAAACTCTGTTTTTCTCCGATGGCTCGACACTGGCTCGGCTGGCTTCAGGTGGATCAGCACCGCAGGGCGGCCTCCTTGAGCGTTCTGGAGAAACGGATCCGCTCGGAGGAGACGGAGAAACGCCCGGGAAGCCGTTCGGGCGGAGGTCGTCCGCGGCAGGGAATGGAAGACCAGGGGTTCAGTAGGAACTGGTGGTTTTCCTGGGGTTTGTAACTTGTGCGTGTGCTTTTGCTTGTGATTGACATGTGAGAATCCTTAATTAAAGCGAAGGTGGTTGTCACATGTTATGACCCCGCGGTGTACGGGATTGATTTGGACTTGAAGGTGGCAAGTCATTGAAAGCTTGTTTCCTTGCTGCGCGCTGTCTGTTTGGTTCCAGAGCTCCCAGAGTGGAAGGTGAAAAAAAAACATGAAAAGAACAACTGTCATCGAGACAGCGGGTTGAAGTTGGTAGTGAAACTGCAAGAATGCTGCAAAGTGTTCACTTCTTCAAGAAATACCTGGTTAAATTTGAACTTTGCCTGTCGAGTCATACATGTCTATATACTCTCAGTAAGGTACGCCCAAACCAGGCAACTCAATGTGTTCTTTCTGCCTTTACAGGGACCAACAGCTCTTTGTCGTACCTTCTCACATGCCCCTGCTATAATGTGCACTGCTATAATGATTTTCCACTTGCCCCTCTTGAAACTGTTTTGACCGGCAAAACTTAGCCAGTGCCGCGGGGGTGTTTTCTCATTGGCTGTGCTGCATGGCGATCGCCAGGAGAAACAGCACAGCCTGTTGAAGGAGAGAAACGTGGTGATTCGACAACAGGCGAGCAGAGGAGCATTGTGGGACACAGAGGAGCATCCTCATAAAGAAGAATGGCAGAAGATGGGGGCCAGCGGCAAGGTTGGTTCATCAGCTGATGTTTAAGTGTTGAAGATGTGACGTGTTTCTGACACTGAGTCAAACTTCCACGCCCGCATCAGCGCTATCCCTGACCAAAGTCATGAAATTGTATTTGCCTAGGACGCTACTAGTAACAAAGGGCATCGCTACCGGGAGCAAGGACGCTACTAGTAGCTCCTGGCATTACTACTAGGAACAAGAAGCTACTAGTAACAAGGATGCTATTACTGTAGGTGGTTTTGCTTGAGAAAGAAAGCTTGTGGTGTCCCCATATGTCGTTGCGACGTCGGCTGACATTGAAGTCGTTTCTGGGTTTACACTGGCCATGAACAGTGGTGCAGACTGTGTTGCACCACCAGTATGACAGCTTGCTTCAGTCTTGCCCCAAGAACCATTGGAGGCCACCGCTAGTAGGTTGGAGGCCATCGCTATCAGTATACAAAGAAAGAAGAGAAGGAAGAACGGTCCAATATTGCTTCATTTGCTGGCAGGATCTTTTTGTCAAAAGACGAAGCTTGCAGTCTTTGCAATTTCTAATTATCTAATTGAGCCAAGACCCTCTTGATACCAATAAGTGTGGCACTGTCGGTGTCCTTCAACACCGGAACATGTTCCTTTTCATTTTAAAAATGAGACTTGTCAACGGGACGGAGTTGGAAGACACATTTTGCCGAATCACACGCTTTGCAAGCAGCTGCCTCTGCCGTTGACAGGCAGCTTCATTGAGCAATCCAATCAACAGTGAGGCGTCCACTGTGTCAAGAGCAAACTCACGTGTTTATCTCTCAGAATTCTTTGACAGTATGGCGATTCTCAACCTCAATGCACTATCATTGTGGTGCTTCACACACGTCAAGTGCAAAGCTCATGTGATAAACTCTGAGGCGAAATGACACCACCAACCTGTGTCAGCCCAGTTATCAGCCTAGTTAATCAGCCCATCTCTTTTCGGCACACCAGCTGTCCCATTCTCATGGAGGCGGTAGGTTGGCCCTCGCAACACCGACGAAACGAAACGAACAACACCCAAAAGGTGATGCTCCGCATCCGCGCCTACCGGGAACGCTTCGCTTTGGATGCCGAGCGACAGCCCGGGGCGCCCGATCGGCGCGTGCCGGCTTGACGTTGGGATGTTTGGAGAGTCCAAACCGTCACAACAGTCCCATGGGTTCGGGCACTTGCTGGTTGGTTCGTTGACATGTGGTGTTCCTCTCCGTCGCGGTGTTGCTTGAGTAATTAAGCCACGGCTCGCAAACCGTTCTGGAGAGCGGATGTGCTTGAAAGGAAGCACATTGCAAAGAAAAGTTCATTTCCAGATCAGGCATGTTCTCTGACACCTGTATGGGGAGGCAACCCCGGTGCACGGAGGGCGACCAGGATCGGTCTGTATTTGAGGTCACTGGATTGGCATCGCCACATCGAAACCCAACTGCGGGAGGCGGCACGGCGGCACGGCCGGGTGGGACCGACCAACGGCCATGCGGTCGGCCGAAACGCCTTCGATTCAGACCTCATTGGGCGGGGACATCCACAAACCCAAACCTGCTCGAAGATATTGTGGAAGCTACTGTAGGTCTATAAATCTATTGGGAGCGGGAGAGGGGCTCATTTCTTCAGCACGGGAGCAGGGTTGGTGCTCCGACTTTTGGGCAGCTGCTGGACATTAGAGACACATATATACAGTTAATTACGGACTTGCAGTCATCATCCGGAAGAGACTTGTCTTTAATGTTAACAAAGTTGTTTTTCGAGATTATATTTAAAGATAATCGAAATCATACATTTATAGATGACAGCATCTAAGACATGATTATAGATCTTCGCGTGAAGAAGTCAGTTAAAGATGACATATCATCAAGAAGAACCTGTATAGCAAATTTACTTTGGGTCCGGTGTCTTCCGTTCCCGAAACACAATTCCCCCCGACCTGGGCCCCTGAACTGCCAGAGGAGATCGAGAACTGCCGGCGCGACGCCCAACACTGCCGCATGCGGCAAGGGGAAGCCATCGAGGCGATTTCGGACCTCGACTTCCAAATTTGTGAGCCACTTCGAGCGACTTCGAGCGACTTGTTGCTTTGACAAATGCTTCACCAGGGTGCTAAATCGCCTTGGAATCCCCACTTTGAAGAAGAATTCTTCGGTTGAAATATGTCCACCTTGACAAACGCTTGGGGTTTTGAACGTGTTGATATTGCTTAAAGGTCAAACCTGCCCGTTTAGGAAGTGCCTGCAGTCAGAAAGATCTGAAAGTTGAGGATTTGTGAGGATTCTTCAGGCAAAGAACATGCCCTTCACCTCTTCATGTTCTGTTAGGTTGGCCATCGAAATATTGTAGCAAGCGCGCGTCTTCGTGTTCATGTTGCCACCGGGTCTCGGACCATCGCTACCACGAAGGGTGTGAAGTGTCGATGCAGATGGCTCAAGACAAAAGGCCACGAGAAGGGCAGTGAAAGCTGCAAGAGTAGAGGCAGGAAGCTCGAAACCCGACCAGCTCGACTTGTTGGGCTTTCTCTTGAAGTGAGAGCTTGCCAAACATGAAAAAGGTGGTAACGCTTTTCTTCGATATTATGGATTTGTCCACAGTGCTCCATGTGGCATCACTGGGCCACTTGCCTTAGGCAGTGCCATAAAACCTGCCCCCAGGCTGTGCTTCGTTTGTCTCATGGAAGGGCTATTGAGGGGCAAACGTGGATCGATCGCGAGTTGGTGTGGAAGCCAATAGTAATTGATTCTCCGAAGAGAAACCGAAAGCTCATGTGCTGATGTACCGACATCCGTCCCTTTTTTCCTTCTCCCTGGTAACAAGAAGCTATTAGGAACAAGTGCATCGCTACTAGTAACAAGTGCCTTACTAGTAGTAACAAGAAGCTATTAGAAACAAGTGCCTTACTACTAGGAGCAAGAAGCTACTAGGGGCTCCTGGCCTTACTAGTAGTAACAAGAAGCTAGTAGAAACAAGACCGACCGCACCGACCGCGGAGGCCACCCGTCATGCCGGAAGATCGAGCCTTGAGCGGGCTCACCAATGCGGTGGCCGGCGCTGTAGCGGGCGCAGCCACCGGGGTGGTGCAGGGCCCAGAATGGCATGGGTGCTGCAAGTTGTGGCCGTGGAGCAATCAATTCAGGTGATTTAGTTCTAGCGAGCTATGCCTATTAAACGTGTTGGAGGTCGGCCAAGTATCTTCGACTTTTTGAGACGAGCCCTCGGACGAGCGACGCCGCCCGAGGCCATGTTTATGCTTCTGAGAAAGCGAGACAAGGAGGAAGCTAGTATGCCACAGCTTCTTGGACGAAAGGATACGAAAGGAGTGACATTTTCTCAGGAAAGATGCTTACGAAAGGTTTCTGGCTTTTGCTTCAAGGCAGCCACTCAGTCTTTTTCTTGTTTGACATTTGGCACATCTTTCAGACTGATGTTCTCGCTTTGGGTTTCATGCATGCTGCATGTGTTTGAAACACACACGACAGCGCGTTCATGAAGTAACATGAAATCAGTCGCTGCGGCCTATTGGTCTGCCTGGGCTCACTTTCAGGAACGATGGCGGCAATGTACAGGCCAAGGAGACCGGAAGAGTTCTCGAAAACGGAGGGAACGGGAACGATGCAGAATGTGTCTCAACATGAGTGGGACTACGATATACGTGTAAGTAGCGGCTTAAGATTCACTGCATTTCGTGTGACCCTCTTTGACAAAGTGACCATTTGCGTGGGTCAATGATTCGCCTGCGAAACATGGGCCCAAGTCGGTAGTGACGCACCCCTTTCCAAGGTGGATGTAGCTGACCGGGTAGGTACTGCTTGTACAGAACCAAACGATACTGTATCGAGAGAACTGCAAATGTTAGTGCTTCTTATCCGCTCTTGTCTTGAGTCTTGACGAACCACAGACATGGCAATTGTTTCTAATGATGTTCCTGAGCGGACAATTTCACGGATTTCATCACTTTCTTTTGAGTTGTTTCTGTTTTTTTTTTGATAACTTTAATTCATTTTAGTTCAATCCTTCGTATCTTGTTATGAAAACAATCTTTCCAGCATCCCGATCATCACCTTAGGACCTTTGCTTATGCATAGGTTTTCTTGATTCTCAAGACTCCCCCTGACCTGACCCCCCTGACTCGTTTCTCGAGGACCAGCGCGCTAAGAAGGCGGGCTTTACTTCGAAATGGACCAAACCCGTCACTGCGCCTGCATTGATGGGTAGGAGAGGAGTGCCGTCGGGAGGCCGGAGCAGTCGGATGGGGAGGAGAGGCACGGGTTGCATGGAGCCGTCGTATATAGGGGTTGGCCATGGTTGGCCATGTGCGCGAACATAGCAGCCTCAACTGGACAAAAGACGCAACTCCAGGATCTCGGGTCAAATTAAGCAGCAAGGTCCAATTAACTCACTCCTGAACCCACAGTGACAGTTTGGCATGAAACTCTTTGAGCACTCAATTTGATTCCCATACTTTTTGGAATGACCTTGAAGCCTCCAAAGCATCCATCCTTGAATCGGATGAGACATATGAGAATGGGTGAGATCTCCGGTTCTCCACCTGGACACAGCACCCATCAGCACCCTTCGCATCAGGATGGCTTTGACAGGTCACTGAGAGTGAGCTCGAAGAATTCACGCAGTGATTTGATTAAGTGTTTGTATCGCTACTGGGTGCTCGGGTTAACTTGTCTCGAATGGCATGAACTTGTGCCAGATGAGGTGTGCCCTTGGGGGAAAGCTTGATTGGGCTAAGTTTTTGTATGTATGCTGTTGTTGATCACAGTTTGAGAATTCGACCAAACCGCAAGGGCACACTGTTGATTCTGTCTTAAGTTTATTGTACTCCGAAGTGCGCCGTTGCGATTTCATGTTTTTGGCTTCACTACATTGTGACTAGTTTTTTTTCAACAATCGTTGCGAAACGGTGTCCCCAAGCAGTTTTGTGTCTAGGAGTGTAGACGATCATTGTTTGGTCATTTCATACGGTGTATTTCTTCTTTTTGGTGACTAGTGCTTGGAATACAGCCAGCCTCAAGTTGCGCTTCCCAACCAATGTTGGGACAGAAAGGGGGCAGGCCTCATCGCTACTAGGTGCATCGCTACTAGTAACAAGTGCCTTACTACTAGTAACAATAAGCTACTAGGAACAGGTGCATCGCTACTAGGTGCCTTTTTTGCTACTAGGAACAAGTGCATCGCTTCTAGTAACAGGTGCCTTACTACTAGTAACAATAAGCTATTAAATATACTTTTAAAATAATTCTAATAGCTTCTTGTTACTACTAGTAAGGCACCTGTTACTAGTAGCGTGGCACTTGTTACTACTAGTAACAATAAGCTACTAGGAACAGGTGCATCGCTACTAGTAACAAGTGCCTTACTAGTAGTAACAATAAGCTATTAGTTAATTTGGCTTAATTTAGATTTAATGCTCATAGCTTCTTGTTGCTACTAGTAAGGTACCTGTTACTAGTAGCGTGGCACTTGTTACTACTAGTAACAATAAGCTCCTTTCCACTTTTGCAAATTGGGCATGCGGCCTCAGGTGGTGATTGCCAGCCCTGCTCTGGAGCCTCTGGCGAAAGAGGCGGTGGGTGTTAGCGGTAGTTGGAGTATTGCAAGTCTTCAGGGGAAGAACTCAGATGCGTTAGACACCTGCCGAAAGCCAGCGAGTGCCGGTGTGAGAAGCATGTGATGGTCGATGGTGTCAGAAGGGATCAGCAGGGCAAAGCGCATGGAGATGTCTTCGGGAGGTTCGAAAAAGGCTGGGAGAGGAAGATTATCCTGAAAGTGCTGGCGAGAACCTCAGGGGAAGAGTTGAATCGTGTCCCAGCGGGAGCTGTCTTTCTTTTCATGACATATCAAGGCATCTACTAGGCTGGAGGCCATCACTATTCATCACTATTAGGTTGGAGCCATTGCTAAGCTAGTAGGTTGGAGACCATTGCTATTAGGTTGGAGGCCATCGCTATTAGGTTGGAGGCCATCGCTATTAGGTTGGAGGCCATTGCTAGTAATTTGGAGAGTGGGCTTAAACAAAAACCATATATCAAGACATATCATGGCATATCAAGACAGCACTGTACGCCCCATTCGGGGCGTGTCGCATGCTTGACATTGAACGGTAGGTACCTGACGGCATTCGAAGTGAAACGGAGTCGAGGGCTGCCGTCCTACGTATCGATGTGACTGCTGAGGTCCTACCGTGTCTTTGGAGTATTTTAAGTCCAAAGATCCGAATGTGAAGTGTGCCTGCCCTGCTTGACTTCCAAGATTCACAGTGATACGCACTTCTCCATTTTGTCACAATGTGTCTGATGGGCTGCACTGGTTTCTGCTGGAAGATTGAAGAATCATATAGCAGAATGAGGGCATGGCCGGACCATAGTCATGTATACACATTACTAACTAGTAACAAGAAGCTACTAGTAGCTTGTAGCTTCCTTGGGAATTGTTTCACTGGGAATCGTTTCACCTGTAGTCACATGTCTTCGTTTCCATCAAAACAGTCTCTACATGTCGCCAGGTTTAATTGGACGCGTGTCGTTGGTCGAAAGATCATTTTCCTGTTCGACACGGTGGACCAAAGCCGATTTTTTGAGCAGCAGCTCGACTCAAGGTGTGTAGAATAAGGAGCTTGCAAGCTTTGCTTGTTCGTTAGCGTTCTGCTTGCAAATGATTGAAGCATGTTCTTGGCCAAGCACAGTTGACGTGAAACATAAGTGAGATTAAATGACCTTTGATCCCAGATGTTTGAGTGGTCACCACAGTCCTATGTCGGCCATGAGTTGGCTGAGCTCAAGCAGATGACTTTGAGAATTTAGACGTGCGCATGTACACGTAGCTTCCTTGATGAAGCTGAGGTTATCTCTTTTGCAGGCGTGGGACATCGAAGCGAAGTGTTTTGCAAAAACCTCATCCGACACAGCGAACAAACGGCGATCCAACACGGCCATTCAGAGGCGAAACGAGCCCAGTCAGCCCAGCGTACGCATCCTTTCAGCGTACGGAACTCCAGGGCAGTCAGCTT